TTGAATAGATTAAAAGTTCCCAGGAAAATGAAAGTGCCATTTTATTTAAAAATGACTCTTCAGTCTGATTTTTGTTTTGCATCTCTATTTTCCTTATGAGCTTTCAAACCATGCACCCTTATTGCACAACAACTCTTTTAAGCTCTCAACAGTTTTACATTTATTACAATTTTATGTTGCTTTTGGACTCGTTCTCTTATCATGCTCCAAATCACGTTTTATGCTGCTTTGAAGTATGTTACTAATATACTTATTGCTTAACAGAAAATAGCCTGATGTTCACTGCTGTTTCAAGGCGTAAAGCAATAAATGTCAACTTGGGGTTTTTTTTGCAGTCACTTGTCTTAACTTCTATTTCTCCTCAAAATGCCTGCATTTTGAAACAAGTTAAAGGTGTAATATACTAATTGTCTACATGACTTGAATTATTAAAAAAATGTATTTGTTTCCTGCTGCCTTCATTTCGCTCACGCCTTTAATTATAAGCATTGCTTTTCCTGTCAGTATTGTAATTAGGTGGGCTCTTTTCCACTGTGAACCTCTTTTAAAATGCATCCCAAGTTTTACTAAACATTGGGAATTACTCATTACTTTTTGAATGTACATTTAATGTGGCGGTTGCAAAGCTACTGCTCTGGTCTACTCATTTGTTCTTGTCTATGCATATCTTCCCTTTCCCGGTGGATGTTCTGTGCCACTAGATAGGCATCCAAGAGTCCTGTGGCACTATTTAGTCTAGAAGGTGCCACAGAACTCTTTGCTGCTTTTACAGATCCAGACTAACGCGGCTACCCCTCTGATACTAGACAGGCATGTTCTCTACACAAAATTTTGCACTTTAAACATCATCATAACATGTGGGACAAATGGGGAACAGGATCCTGACAGACAATAAATGACCATAAAATCATATAGTATCAAGGGAATTCTCTTTTATGAGGTTTACAGAATGTACACATTAAATTATTCTCCACACAATGAGAAGAAAGTGTGTATATTTTTCTATTCCAGAAGTTGCAGGAATGTGTGAATAACTGTGACCACCCTTCTTTGCAAGAACATGTACATATGATGAATGATATTATCAGTAAATTGTGAGCTCATTCAGAAGTGTGACTATTCAGATGCAAAAAGTAGTTAGGCAGCAAAAAGCATGTATCTGTAGGCTCCAACACTACGTTTATTTAATTATTTTGAGATTTATGTAATTTACTTATCACACAATCTATGGGCACATGTACAAACATTTAAAACAAACCACCTAATAGACTCACACCTTGCCCCAAGGTAAAGCTTTGTACTTTCCCCACAATTACCCCTTTCAAGGAAAAGTCTGAGCAAATAGGTGGGCTTTATACCATGCCCTGATGTCAATAGATTCAGGATCTGATGAACCAATGGTGGAAGTGGATTCCAGAGTCAGTGCCGGTCACTTTGAACAGCCGAGTTCAAATTCCCAGACATTCAACCCTAAGTGTGTGCCCCGGCTGATCTCAACTGTCAAATGGCACATAAAGAGTAGGGGATTTATCACTCAGGACTCAAAACAGATCGGGCTTTATAGATCAATAGGAATATCTTGAATCCTACCTGGAGGCAAACAGGAAGCCAGTACAGGCTTCTGTAATATACCTATGGCCAACACTGCTAATTAAGCAGGGAGCAATGTTTTATATAAGCCATAGCTGCTGATCTGGAGAAGGGCAGCCAGAGTAGAGCACATTGCAGTATCCCAGTCTGGAGGTCACAAAAGAATGGATAAATTTATCTACATCCACACGAGAAAGAAATGATCACAATCATCTGATCAAAAATGGCAAAAGATATTTAATTCTGGAAAAAGAAGAACAGGAGTACTTGTGGCACCTTAGAGACTAACAAATTTATTAGAGCATAAGCTTTCGTGGACTACAGCCCACTTCTTCGGATGCATATAGAATGGAACATATATTGAGGAGATATATATACACACATACAGAGAGCATAAAC